TCATCTAAAGAAACATATTCTGCTGCTGAAGGACGAATAATCCTGAGGCTGGAATATGCTTGCTAATTTTTTACTAGGACAAGAAAGTGCTACCACTTGAAAGCACGGGGGACCTGTACCCATCTATGATTAGCATCAGGGATGTGTCTCATCAAAATCTGGTGTGTCACTTTGTGGCAAACTTATCATGATAATGTCAACACATGATTGTTTTACTATCAACAGACCCAAAAACTCCCCTGTTAAGGTGAAGAGCAGGTATTTTACACTTGCACTTGCCTGACTGAGCAAAACTGTCAGGTAATGCGTGCGCCAGGTACAACTTTCTCTTCCTTTTTATGGTCTGATTACACATTTTTGTATTGACGAGATTGAACACCTCTGATATCAACAGCCATTGTTCAGTTGTACATGTCTCCTCTATAACTCAATATCCTGCTCCATATTTATCTATATTCCCTACTGAATGGGAATATGAGAAGACTGCTGCCATAGCGAGCTGCATAAATGTGGGGGTTTTTTTCAGCCTTCCCTTTATCAACTACCTCTGTGTTTCCACGCTGTGCCCTTTTTCCTATAGACCTGCATTCATATTTATGTCTCTCTGTGTTTATTGCCCACTCAAAATCCTTAAGAAGTTACACCAGTGAAGACAGACTAAAATAACCTATGCTAATTTAAAATAATATCCGCCAGTTCTACATGGTTACACATTGTGCTTCTTCCAAAGGCAGCGATGCAATTATAGGTACTAGGGTGCATAAAGTGATACGGAGGTTTCCATGGCAATTATTCAATTTAATTGAAAATTGTGTTGGGAAAGACTCATTTCAAGTGCAGCCTGCAATTTGAATTTGTTTCTGAAGAATCTGAACTTGCTTAGGTTGGGTTAGTGAATTCCTAATTTTCAGGAAGACACAGTCTTTAAAATTCTATCAGGGGGTGGAAAACCAAGGTAAGGTTGTTAAGCTTGTTAACATTTAAGACCATGTATCCATTTATGCAATACAGCGTTTTTTACTGTAAGGTAAATATTTTATGTTTCAAATTAAAGAGGAAGAGTTCAAAATCAAATTGATGCACAATGTCCTTGAAGCTACAAGGCAGAGGAACCAGAAAAAACACAAGTACCAAAAAGGACAACAGGCAGACAGCATGCTGAAGGAGACAAGTCATCAATGAGACCAAGTCCACGAGATCAAACATTTGTATTTTCATATATTTTAGCTACTCTGTGTTAGAATAATAATGAAGACGAAGTTAATTCCAGCCTTAATATGCTTTAGAGTGACAAAGTATGAATTGGAGGGAAGCAACTGGTTCATCTTGGTTAGATACTAAAACAAAGCTATTACTTAATTTCCCATAGGAAAATGGGATTTCTTTCCTCTCCCAATTTCCATCACCACAATGAGTAAAACATATTTTAGGCCTAAATTTATAAAAAAACCAAAATAATCTACTTAAAGTGATGAAAACCCAGAAACAATCTCTGAACTGTGGTTTCATATTCACTAAATTTATAGCTATGCCATTTATGAAACAAAACTCTATTAAATTTCTATTTGTATCATTTTAAGACTGCATAGGCTATGTGCCAAAAATGTCTCAAGTTAAAAATAGTCCTTGTCTCCTTCATAAATATTAAATAAAAATTAAATTGATGTGAGGGTAGGGATAGAAGTGCTCTTTCCCAGCCACAAAATCCTCCTTAGTGGGAAAAACTGTACCTAAAAACAGGTGGTCATGGCAGTATGTGACCAGAAGCAGAAGAATAATTTTAACAATGTAGCTTTGGTATTAGTGTGTTTGTCTCATTGCATTTCTGTACTTATTCAGAATGTCTAAAACAGAAAAAGGAAGAATGACTCCTAACTTTAATGTCAATGATTGCATCACAGTTGAGAAGAAAGCAAAATGACATGAATGTGTTTTTCATAATATATATGTAATCCATTTTTAATTAACTAGACTCCAATAATTAACCTTTTGTGAAAAGGCATGGGGATGGGAAGCAGAAATTCCGGGTTACCAAGAGACTCTTTTCTTGGCCCATGGCAAGTTCTGTTTTGGTCAGAAAATGTCTCTGCAAGACAAGGGAACCAATTTGCTTGAAAAAGAAGCATGAACATGAAAGGGGTCCCACCAAGGAAAAGCAGCAGAGGGCTTTTCACTACATGGACAATTTGCTCTATTTTTGGACCTCTTCTGCCATATGGTGGTGGTCCCAGGCTAATGGTTGGACTTGATGATCTTAAAGCTCTTTTCTAACCTTGATGATTCCATGATTCTATATGCTGACAGCTCTCAACTCCCTCATCTTTTGCTATACATTCCACTCTTCTTTGAGGGTGTGTTCCTTCATTTTACTACTTGACCCTCTCAAAATTATTAAAATATATAGCAATCAAAGGTTTCTTGAATTTCTTTTTTATGCTTCCGGACATGAAAGAAATGTAGTCTCATTCCCACGTGTGTCATTCGTATAAATAGAAAATAACTTATTGAAGTTAAAAGTAAGAAAATTTCATTTAGTTCTGAATGTGGCAACACCCACAGTTACTCACCTCTGATGGATATAAAGGCTACTGGTGATGCTCCTTGTCTAAGCTTCTGTTTCCCACACAGAATGTAACTCTATACCTATCCAAGCTTTCATCAATTTTTGGGGTTGGAAAAACATGATATTAAACACCAGTGTTCATGGTGTTGAAGGGATAAGTAAGACCTGAAGGTTGGTTTTGGTTAACAATAAGAGACAGGTTTGAAAAGACTCTGGCTGAGGCACTGCTCTCAATAAATTAAATACAATAACTGGATCTAGTAGAAAGCTACTTTTTTGATGACAAAATTATATGCCTGGCTGTGAGAAGTGGGACATGAGGAGAGGGGAAAAAAAAACAACTTTACAGTTTCATTTGCCATCATTTCCTGAGAAAACCACCAAGATATAAGAGTCATAAATCCTCCATTTTGGTTCAATAATGCAAGCATCTAAAGAATGTAAAGGAAATCTCTTTCTTACTTGTAAGAACGTACAGAAAAAAAATTGTCAGTGAAAGCTGTACTTCATTTTCAGAAATGGCAGAATGATTTCCATGCAGGAATTGGATGTACTTTTCACTCCCCTCAGTAGACTCAAGACTGGAAATGTCACACAGAGTGGAAACCTTCACCAGCAGGAGACAGAGTAAATATCTCTGATTGAAGGACCTGAAGTTTTTCTTGACCACAGGAAGACATTTTCCCGTCTAACAGATGCAGAGTAATTCCTCCATAAAATGAATTATCTACTATTCCTTGAAGTCTTGGGAAAAGCTGAAAGTTCAATAAAGAGTGTGGTCCTTTAAATTTACACACTTCAGCTCCTCACATTTCCTGTGGGGAATATAAATTGCTTCTAAGTACTTACTATTCTGCATGCCATTCAAATTCTGTGGCTTCAATTCATTATATTAAAAAGTAATACAAACTTCAATTATTCGTTGTAAAATTACGAATTTAGCTTAAGCACACAGAAAATTCAATTCACACCAAAATGGCTACTATGTTCAAATTAATGTATTTGCAGTCTTCCCACGTCCTTCTCAGCATCCTTTAAAATGTCACTTATTTTTTATAAAGTTATAGATTTTCTGAGTATTGATGTGCTCTATCAACAGACAAGTTCTCTCTGCTTTTAGTTCTGCAGACATTACTCACCCATCCCAAATCACTAATGATTACAGCTAAAATAAAGGGGTCCATATGAGCAGAGGTTACAGCACTAGACTTACAGCTCAAAAGTTTGCACCTTATAAACCTCTCATCCTCAATCCTACATTCAAAAGGTACTTATGATTTCAAAGAAATTGCAAATCAAATGATTACACGCTACAGGAAATTAGATAAAAGAGAAAGGAACCACTTCAACACCATCAAGAGATTCTATTCAGCTATTATATTAATAGTAAAAAAACATATTTTGATTGCAGCTTCTGCAGGTATAAAATGACAGGGTTTAGATTCTCTTTTATTGAAGTGCACAGATCCACAAAGTGTTTTCAGTCCTGCAAGGTGTTTTAGTCTTGTAATCATTCAGCAAAGCATTTGGACAGCAGTTCTTCAATTTTAAGCAGAGTAATAAGTGCACTTGTTAAAATACGTTCTAGAGTATGTAGCACCTTTCAGAATAAATTCAAGCACCAGAATTAAGTATAAAAAAAAAGGTTGAACTTCTGTACCATCGAAATCAACACCAAAGCTTTTACATTTTTAAAGCTAAGTGATGAATTTACCACCCCTAACTTCAGTTTTAATTCTCATGTAACCTTTATGTTAACATCCTATTATGTAAAATGCAATGCTTTTTCAGTTCAAATTAAGATAAACATCTCAAAAATAAAAACCATTGCAGATATAATGACCATCTTTTTGTAAGGAATGGATGTTTTCCTGTCTTTTTTTATGCTCTAATTTAACTAAAGTTAAAAAAAAAAAAATCATTGCATGGAAAAATTGGAAATATCAGGGCACAGAACCCAATTGTTTTTATTAGCTGTTAAGAACACCTACCACAGCAACTGTGCATTGTACTAACATCCACGCTGCAGTACACTTGAAGCTAACAGTGGGATTGTATACATATATATAAAAATATACATAATATAGATATATATGCATACACACTAATAAAAACAAGTCACAAAGTTTATGGGCTACTACTTCTCTTGCCAACCCTTGCCACTCATAAATGCTTTTCCAAGATGTTTTGCAACAATATTTACCAAATTATCTTACAATCAGACTTTCAAATCCTATTCTTTTCCTTTAATAATTTAAATATAATTTTATATGCAAGAGAATACTTCAGTGAGTGCCCCTTCAAAAAAATTAAATTATAAATGAAAAAATACATTCCTAGTAAATATTTTCATATTAGAATATTAAAGAGAAATGGTTTTAAACATTTTTTTCTTACAAAAAATGGTGCAGAAGCATGAGTTGAGGAAACAATTTACCTTTCTTGTCATCGAAGTACAGTGTCTGTTGAGCTGGATTTGACCACTGGAGGGAGGTGTTATCATTTTGATCGACCCTGCAGGTCAAATTTGCTGTTCCCCCTTCAACAACCGTGACGTTCTGTGTAAGTGGAAACTGCCCTTGGCTGCCTGAGGAGGGAGGGGAGGAAGGCAGAAGGGAAGAGAGTAAGAAGAAAAAAAAGAAAATATTTAGGTTGCAGAATTGAATTTATTGAAGCAGCTTCCCACAGATGACAGACCCTGAATTCAACGTGATCTATTCTGACCAAGGTAGCACAATAAACCGAAAAAAATTACATTTACAATATATTCTCTGTATCTGAGAAACAGATAGATGAATTAAGAAATAGGTATTCTTCCCCCCCCCATAAGACATACTATACAGTTACAAAGAAGTGCCCTGCAATTTTATCTCCTCAGACATACCCACAGATGACTCAGTACAGACAATATAGTTAAATCAGTGTTGAAAACATCACTGAAACCATAACATAAAAATCCACACAGAGTTTTTCAAACAGAGGGACAGGGCAACCATGACTCCCTGTTTCTTTTTATACATTTTAAAGGCCTCTCAGGATGACGTTTTCCGTGTCAGGTTTGGAAAGTTGTTGGAGAGCAAATGTAGTGTGAATCTAATACTTGATGCATACTCTGCTGAGGGAATATAACCTGATCTCATATGAAAATGGAAGAGATGATGTAGTAGGTCTCTTTCACATCTGTGATTCTATCCCAGAGCGTTATGAATCACATTAAGTGCTTGCTGAAAAGTCACTGGGAAGATTTCCAAATGCCTCCACACAATACAGGAGCAGTATCACTCAGGTTCTTAAATCACGAGCATTTTCAATGGCATAGTTAGACTAAAGTGTTTATGTGTGGGGAGAATAGCACAGCCCTTGTCAAACAGCACAACACATTCTGACAAACTGTATTGCAAGAAGGGAGCGAGGTAAAAACGTGGAAGAAAAACATGGAAGTCATTTTAATACGGGCGGGGAAAGAAAGAAACCTTCAGTAGTCAGCAAGACACATCATGGATTCTATGATCATTGTCTAGGACATATATTAATTTACTTAAGGATACTGTGCAAAAGAAAGACAATCCAATACTCTAAATCAAACATATGCTTCTTTCTTCCTCTCCTTTTATACAAGTTCTGTTAATGAAAGAAGCACTGAAGAGTAGGTAAAGCTGCTCACATAGGAACCATAATGCCAAGACTGACACTCAAGTGGGATGTGTCAGAAACTAAAAACCTCTCTACAGTCCTACAGGAGCAAAGAAGCTCATAGACATGTCATAAGTACATCAAGGAAATAATATATACAATATTCACTAATCATACCGATACAGAATCACAAATCCAGCACAAAACCTTCACAGAAACATCCTGTTTTAGTGGCTCTCATCCCAGTTGTTCCCAACGAAGTTAAACTGAAGCATATCTTCTACATAAAAGGCATGATAATGAAAATCTATTATCTAGTATACAGGTTTTCAGATGAGCAGAATAATGAAGTACAAATTAAAAGACTAACAACTGAACTTCTATTTGACCTATTGATACTACCAGAGATGTAATTGTAGCCAGATTTCCCTACGGATTGGTTTCCCTATATAAAATAATTATGATGGTCTTAGATGTGGGAAATAACTACCTACATCAGTGAAATAAATATTTCCATCAAAATGCAAATCTGAATAACTGGTATAATTTTTGCATAAATATCAACTTCCTACAGATGTCTAAAGATCAACACTTACTGTGTACTGATATTTACTCAAGACGGTATTTACTATCCATAGGATAACGGATATAGTAAATAAAAAATAAGGAATGTTGAAAACACCATGGATAATTTAAATGCTGCAAACAGAAAACGCTGAAATTCTCATGACATCCTCTGTATCTGACACTTCATTAATCAAACCCTGCTTCCTGAAAGCCACACGTTGAGAAATACTTGATGAGTGAAAAATCATAAACAAGGACGAAAAAAAAAAGAAAACAGAAAAGATTTGTCATTTCCTTCTATTTCCCCTCTTTCAATTCCAATGTGTCAAGGAACCTCAAGATATTGCATAAATTGCTTATCGCTTAAATTAGAATTTTAAAGATCCAAAAAAACGCACACAGTCTGTTATTACTTCCACTAAATTACAAGCAACTTACCAAAGAAATAACCTTCCAAAGTGTGAGTTGTGGATAGGAGGCTATGTGGGCTAAAATACCTTTTGCATACAAAAGCATTAAACAGAACCTACTGCCAGAGATTAGCACAGTGAAATCTGTCATTTACATTAAAGACCTGGAATGGAGGATGGTTTAATAAAAAAACCCGCTGTAATGATTTAGGACCTTATTAACACAATTTAGGAGATCTCCCCATAATTACCCTGATCTCCCCATAATTACCCTATATTCCCTTTCGGATATTACAGTTCTCACCATGAAGGTGTCAGTGTACCTGCAGTCTGTCATGTGCTCATGACTGTGAAGTCACAGACTTATCTGACCAGAAGAGTGGTTAGTATGTAAACTATTCTGATCAACCGGATAAATGGGCAATGGAGATGCCACAATCTGAAGAGGACAAAAGAACTTTCTTTTCTCTGACCACTCTAGTGTGTGCTGATGTTTTGGAAGCAAGAAATAATCTAGCATATAAAAATGAGACCTAAACATTCATCCCATCCCTTACCAACAGAGAAGCTGCGTGGATCTGGGGAACATGCACGGAGCTTCATAGGAAGCTTGGAGTGGAGAAAGAGGTACAGAGAAAATGAGTCATCTAATATGGAGACTAGCCCAAGTGGAAAGAAAGGAGCCCGTGCAGAACAGATTAAAATAGATAAAGTGAGACCACATGAATGGATACTGAACACTTCTCAATAAAGACAAAATCTATCAGCAAGTGGACTGGAGAAGGCTGTAAAACCCTGCATGAAACAGATGAACACTAAAGAAAGCACCAGCATTGTGTGTTTTAAGCATCAAAGAAGTGTTTTTATGCCACTAAAGATTGCATATGGTTCCTGGGGGGACTGACTGTTTTGTGGGAGAGGCCTTGTTTCTGATAAATGGGGAGGTAGCATGTTCCCAGGAAGGATGCCAGGGAAGGTGCCAGTCCATGCAAGTGCTCAGTGAGATGGAGAACCCAGGCCACAGGTGGAGCAGGTTGGAGACCACTGACTGGAATCACATCATTCCCCAAGAGACTTGCTTTGGAAAACCCTTTATGGGGTAACTTATTACCTCTGCCAAAAAAACCATTCGCACTCCCAGCACTGAATAGGCTGGTTCTGATCCATTTGAATAGGCTCATTAAATCAAGGATAGTTGGTGATGAGCCTTCAATAAGAAGGGAAGTCTAAAGGCCCTGCCACATTGGGGCTATCGTAATTTCAACAACCCAACACTACCACTATGATTCTTTAGTATGAACAGTTTTTAATACTGGTACTAAACTCCCATTTCCTAATTTCTTCCTTAAATCTGGAAGCAGAGTTTAAACAAGAAAATGTCCTCTAACAAAAGCATTTCACCTTGACTTAAGAAGTCTAGTAATGGACAATTAATGGCCCCTTTGGTAACTTATTTCAGAGAGCAGCAGTCACCCTTGTTTAAACAAAACCACAGAATTTACTCCTGGTATGTTGCTGTAACACTTAGCTTCCAGTAGCTCTTATATCTTTTACCCTGCTCTGAAGAGCTGTTTCTTATCAAATTTCTCTTGTAGGCACTTAGAGACTGTGATCATATCACCCATTAACCTTCTTTTTGATAATCTAAATAAATTGAGCTCCTAAGTCTTCCTGTCGAAACCGTATTTTTCTAATCCCTTAATTAGTCTGTGGCTCTTCTCTGTGACCTCTGCAATTTGTCATCTTTTTTTCTGAAGTGTGTTCAGGCCCAGACCTGGAAAACCTCACTGCTGCAGTTACAGAAGGAAAAAAATGCAAAGGTGATGCCACTTCTCCACCAGCACTTTGTGTTCTTGTTTGCACACCAAGATGAGTCCCCTGGGCCAGAGGATCAGGCAGGAATCCAACTGTGACTGATGGTCTACTATGATGATGGGAGTTTTCTCTCAGACACCATTCCAAAGACAGGCCCTCCTTCCAGTTCTCCTCCTGTAGCTCTTAGATACACTTCCACACTTCCCTATGTTTCACTGCACTGAACACAGCATTTTAGGTAAGTTCAGTACAATTTATTTCCTACTTTACTATTACCTGAGGTGATTGACAGCTATGATTGAGATAAGGAACACAACTCAGATGATCACCATTGTAAAGACAGGGCTACTCATCCAGCTGACTTGCTTTTCTCACAACAAATGGCTGGCAATGACATTTCTACCCTCCACCAGCAGGTCAAGTCAATCAAACACATATATATCCACCACTGTATATACAATTACATTCTGTTCCATGATCAAACCTTGAGGAAGGACAAACTATTTTCCTGTCTGTATGGAGTACATTACTAAAGAGTAAAAAAAATAAATAAATTACTGATGGCCCATATTACAATTCTTTTCTAACTGAAAAGGAAGTGAGGAGTTTCATTAGAAAACACTACAATGTTATGCAAAGGTAAGCTACAATAAGCAATGAAGCTGTGGCAAAAAGGCAGCTGCATTTAGACATTGCTGTCATCATGTTGTATCCCCAGTCCCTCTGCTCATTTTAGGAAGCTTTTTTAGCACAATTATTTCAAATAGTTTGACTAGATGGAGCTATAGTTAAGTATATTCTACCACAGGTTGTTTCTGCAATGCTTTGTGGAGGACCAATACTGCTCTGCAGTAGAACTGACGGGCTCATATCCCATTAGCCACAAGCTGTTTCCTGTCAAGAAAAGCTTTTATTTGCCCCCCACCACCACCTAGAAATCATGGCTAAACTGCTTCTGTGGATTTTAACATTGATTTTTATCTCAGTATGTGACAAGTCTATGCAGAATAATTATCATTATTTGTTCCAGTTTGGAAACATTCATCATGTAAGTTCATCTCATGTTTGTTTGTTTATGTTTGGGTTAGGTTTTTTGCTTGGTTTTGTGGGTTTGGTGGTTTTTGTGTTTTTTTTTTTACTTTTTTGCAATTACAATGAAAGC